GTACGGTACGAATTTAGAAAATTCGTTCTGGTTCGTACTGCATCATTATTAGAATCTTAAAGTTTATATTTCTGACATAAAGTTCAACGGTATGTTTGTCAAAATAACTTTAATTAAATTAAATTACAAAACAATATTTTATTTTAAATGATGCATTTGTCCTTCAATAAAAATTGATTATATTATTATTATTATTATTTATTGAAATAAAAAGGAATATAATCAATAATTGGTTAAAATTTTTAATTTTAAAACATTACAAACTTTATAATAAATTCACCGTGTTATCAAGGGTAGATAGAAAACCGGTACGGTACGATTCAAATTCGCGAAAAATGCTGATCTGCATAATCGTACCGTACTGGTCTGGCGAATCGTACCGTACCGGTTCTCCATATACTCTGTGCAACGTGTTGCGTCGTTCAAATGATAAAGCTTTCTTCTGGGTTGCTGCACCGCTTAAACGATAGGTATCCATATTTTTTTTCGAAATTAAGTTGCGCTAGTTAAATAAGAGGTTACATTTCAAGCTCAATATTTAATTAAACAACAATTAGACATTTTCTTTTGTTGTTCTCAATTAAAGTAAAACTTTTTTAACAGTTGATAAGCTATTCGTCGTATTCCGATCGTAAACGATTATTAGTCAAACTACTTCTGGAAGCAACAATGAATTTGAAAATAAAATCTTTCTATTTCGTAAATTCATCACAAGCTTCAAATTAATTTCTAACTAGAAGGGATCGCATATTGTTATCTTAAATAATGATGTCAGATAAGTAATTTACTTTAAATAATTGTTAAAATGCTGGTCTTTCGATTGTTGCTAGAGATATTTATTTTAAGCAGCTCACCTTCGAAAGGCTTGAACGCATCAAGAACCGTAGAAGTTACAAGAAAGGTTGAAAAAGTGCTGATTTCTATGATACCACGAGAATAAAGATATTTATATATTGTAAAAAAAACAAAGAAAAATACTAATATTTCGGAAGAAAATAATCAAGACATGGCAACAGCGTTTACAATTTGCACATTTATTATGGGGACGTAAAGCAAAATTAGCGAGATAAATTTTTCATGACTATAATTTTAATCAATGAAATTTTAGATAATACTCAATGCATTCTTTAATTTCATTAATACTAGAACGATTTTAATCATATTAAATAGTTGATTTTTTTTTTTCAAGAAGAGCTTGCATCTTTGAGAATTGTGTTGATTAATTGATCAACATTTCAGTAAATTCCTCGATTGTGCAAAATATCGATCTAAATGTCAAATTTAAAGGATGATGACTTTACTTGATAAGCTAGCCTATCTTCAACAGTTTGACTTTTATAAGTGTAATAACTGATGAATTAGTTAAATGTTCGTGATATATCGTGATTTTTCTGCGTCGAATGATGCCAGAAATCTCATGTCCATGTTGAATGACGGTCACAAAAAAATAGTGTAGTGCTAAATACACACAAATCCGCCTATTATATTATTATAAAATAAAGTATGAAAAAAATTTATTGCGGCACTTACTTTTTGTGCTCCTTTATTATTAGAGATTAACAAAATCTAAAATGAAGGTATGATTTTGTTTTTTTTTTACACTATCGTCTCAATTAGAATGTAGCTGTTTTATCTCTAGAATGATTTAATTAAGAAAATTATTTTTTTATTTTAAAAAAAAAATTATATAACGAATCCTTTAAACTGAATTCCGTGCTGCAGTTTATTATAGAAACACAAAACCCTTGAATCATCTTCTTTAACGTTTCAATTGCCTGAAAAAAAACTTGACTTGTAAACCTTGATAAAATCTAAAGCCTCGTCAATCAATCATAATGAATTTGGCAAATATTTATAAACTTTTCACATGTCGTAAATTTTAGCATGAGCGAGGGTTCGGATGTTATTTTTATTATAATTAATAGAATAAAATGATTGCTATTTTGCCTTCATAAGGGAATAACTAAATTATGTTCAAGGTGATCACCAAATTGTTACGGCCACAGCAGAAAGGACGAATGGTTGACCGTCTCTGCTGAACATCACTCGTGAATTTTTCAAAATTGTTTAACAATGTAGTTTCAATAATTACAAAAGCAGCAACGATCAACATAAATATCATTTCGAGAAAAAAATCGCCCCAATGCCTTGTTTTATTGTCAGCTGATGATTTTGTAATACCTAAGTTTAGTATAAATCATTTCGTATTTAAGAAAATAACGTTATGGCTGCAAGAATTGGAATTGGTTTGGAAAAATTAAACAATAAATTGACGAATCTATTAGAAGAAAATGAGAATCTTAAACAACAACATAAAGACCTTCAAAAAGAAAATCGAGAAACTTTACGTATTAATGCTGAATTGAAAGAAAAACTTCAAGTAAAAGATAAGCAATTGGAAAAGCTTCAACAAAAAGTTCTAAATTTGGAAAATCAAAAAAAAGAGTTTGAAATAATTTCTCAAACGTTAGAAAAATCTCTAGAAATGTTTGGATTAGACGAAGTTAATGAGAATAACAATAAAATTCTTGAAGAAAAAAATAAGCCTTTTCTTGGCGAACAAAATAACAAAAAAACAACAAAATTTCCTTTAAACAATAATAATGATAGTATTCAACTTGCAAAAAATATCACAAATTCCTCCGAACATTCTTGGAGCTCCTATAATAAAGGTATGTAAAAGATTTGATTGAATACAATTTTATTGTGATAAAAGTTGAGTAAAATTCATTTAATAAATTTTTAAGGTGAAATTCGAATCGTGGTTGGATTAGACTTTGGAACAACTTACTCTGGATTTGCTTATGGCCATGTTATTAATCCAGAAAACATAATTGCACATGATGAATGGCCTGAATGTATTGGCATGCTTAAAACTAATACAGTTCTTCAATACGATAATAAATACGCGAATGTAATGTCTTGGGGATTACCAGCTTTAACTAAAAGACCAAGTCGACGACGATATGGATATGATAACGATAATTCGCCGCCGGTTGAATTGTTTAAATTGCATCTAAGTGATTTACCCAATAAGTTTAAACCGGAGCTTTCAATTGGCTATAAAAAGGTTATTACCGATTATCTTAGAGAAATCGGAAAGGTATGATCAAAAATAATCAAAAATCATTAGTATATTATCAATTTGAAATAAATTATTTTCTTGAATAATATTTTTAAGGTCATGAAAGATGCAATTGTAGTGAGGTGGCCGAACAGTGATTTCTTTAAAAACGTATTATTAGTTCTTACGTTTCCTGCAGAATATTCGGAAAATGCTAGGTTGATTATGAGAGAATGTGTATTTAATGCAGGGTTGATTAATGGGTATAATTCAACCAACTTACAATTCATTACAGAACGTGAGAACATTCGCTAATATTCATTTTAATGATATTCGTTTTATTTTTTGATTAGTAATTTTTAAGTTAATATATTTATATGTTGATTACTAGCTGAAGCTGCTGCAATATATTGCATGAAACAGCTTCAAGATCATGATCTTGAAATAGGAAGTATGTTAAAAATTATATCTAGTTATATTAATTATAATTATATTTTAATTTAAAATTCCTACCAAAATAAATTGCAGCAAATTTCATGGTAGTCGACTGTGGTGGTGGCACAGTAGATCTGACTATTCGTAAATTGATTAATAGAAATCAATTAGGTGAAATCACTGAAAGATCTGGGGATTTTTGTGGAAGTACTTATATTGATAGAGAATTTATCATGTATTTAAGTAGAAAAGTTGGTCATAATGCTATGGAAATGCTCAGAAAAAACAATTATGGACAAATGCAATATTTAATTCAGGAATTTATTAAACGATGTAAATTACCTTTTACGGGAGTAAACCAAGACTTTAATACTTATGATTTGGATCTCGAAGAAATTGCTCCCGTGATAAAACAATACATTACCGATGAGAATAGAAAACATTTGGAAGCGGAGGATTGGTTAATTGAACTTAACTTTAATGACATAAAATCAATGTTTGACCCTGTTGTTAAAAATGTTTTACAGTTGATTCATGCACAACTTAATAGTTCGCCTGAAACATGTTCGGCGATGTTTTTAGTTGGAGTTTTAGTGAATCAAAATATTTGCAAAAGAGAATTAAACAAGAATTTCAACATAGAGTACGTATCATTTTATTTCCTTGGAATCCTACGACTGCGATTGAACGTGGAGCTGTGATATACGGATTATCTTCTACGAATTCAGATTCAAATGTTATTGCTTCAAGAATTATTAAATATACTTATGGTGTTAAAGTAAGAAAATGCTGGGTAAGTAATTAATCATTATCATATCATAAATTTTAATATGCTCATTAAATCATGTTTTACATTTACTTTTAGACGAAAGACGATCCAATTCATAGAAAAGTCAATGATGGGCGCATTGATAAATTTGATTGTTTGGTTAAGCGTGGTACTCCAATGAATGTTAATCAAGAAATTATGTGTTCTTATTTGCCACTTTATCCTACTCAAACAAAAGTAGTTTTTTATCTATATTATACTAAAGTGTATGATGCAAAATATTGTGATGAGCCTGGTATGAAACTTTTAGGAAAGCTTACCATGGATCTTCCTGGCTCAGGTCTCGATAATCTTTCTTTCGGGTTGGCTTTTGGACAAATGGAAGTTACTGCAACTGTAAAAAATGAAAATAACAACCAAAAATCCAAGATTAATTTTGAATTCGACGTCTAATAAATATTTTTAAGAATTTGTTGATGAGCATTTATTTTTATTTAGAACTCTATTATTTTATATCATATTTATTTAAATTTTCATAACGAGTTTATCCGTTTATAACTTTTTTTTTTTATATACATAATAAATCGTTATACCTTAAATCGTTTTAAAGATATTAATTAGATCAACGAGTCTTTTGCAAAATCAATTACGAAATTTTTTTTTTTTTTTGTACTAATGAGATAGCTGTTATTACAGTTTTTGTTTTTATTTTGAACGATGTAAAAAATCGACCTAAATAATCATTTATAATTTGGTAGATATGCATGATAGTGATTCCATTTAAATCCCTTCTGAAAATATTATTTTAATATGGTTGCAAGTTAAAAGTTTACAATCCGTTCAGAATTTAAAACAACTCAAATTCTTGATTAAGTAAAAAGATTGTTCAAAAAATATATTTATATAATTTATTTAAATTTGTAATCTTTATGACAATAAATCTTTGAATAATTAAAATTTAATTTAATGATATTTTAAATTTTATAACTTGATAATTGAGTTCTGTCTAGGGATAGAGTCAGTTCTGGAACAAATTCTAAGTTAATTGTGTTTACAAACCATTTTTACCAATTTTAAAAATTGAACTCCGAAACGGCTCAAAAAGAATAGTTAAATTGTTTATATTTGTATCAAAGTTTTAATTTATTTTAAGTGAGTTGAAGCAAAATCCGAAGTTTTGAACGAGAAGGCCAAATAATAAAGTTTTATATTGAATAGCTAATTGGAAATGAAGAAATTTCGTTTCATTGGAATATTTTATACTCAAGTCAAAATATATATTATAAATAACCACAATTGATTTAACATATATGTATATATGATTCTGAAAAGATGCTTGAAATCATATGTTAAATGATAACTTTAAAAAAAAGCATTATTAAAGGGTATTCTTTCAAACTTTGATGGATTTTATACGAATATTAAAAAGATATCAATTCAATGCAAAAATTTTAATAAAGTTATATTTCAAATATTGAAGCTTTACTTTTATTTCATTAAATTTATTTTAAAAGTTAGTTTGAATTCGAGTTTATTAGGATTTTAAGGAGGAATTTATATTGAGGCGACTCAGCCAATATAGATGTGAGTTTACTATGCAATCATATCATTATATGGAGTCATAGGGAGGGTAATAAAAGTATGAGACGCTATGGAAACACTGATGGAATCTTTCAATGATGCAGTTTACATAATATATTTCGTTAGTTTAGCTTAATTTTCATTTTCACTGGTAGAATGGTTTGGCTATAATTCAAGCATAACAAAAATAATTAATGAAATTCTGATAATTCAAAGAGTTTGAACAATAGCTCATCTCGCTGACCGCTTCTATACTTAATTTAAGGTAATAATAAAGCATAGAAAATCAAATACTTTGACAAATTTGTTGGTCCATATTAAGTGTTTATCAGTATTGATTGAAATAATTATTTTTACAACTTCATCTGAACTTAAGATGTAAACCCAAAGGTATATGTTATATTAATTTCAAAATAATGACATCTCCCAATGGGACGCGAATTACCTAAATTATCGCATTTATTAATTATTCATAAGTAGATTAACCCATCTTTCAATTGTGACTTTGGTTCGCTTCCAATATTTTTTTGGAATGATTTGTCAACGCTTAAACGGTCGAAGCAAACTTATCAATAAAAATGAGTTATACATTCACAAAATAATACTCTATCGGTTTTCTTGGAAAGGGTGTTATATTTCTTTGTAGATGTATCATGCTCCTTTGGAAACTTTACTAATTATTATTTACCAATTGAGTGTTATATTACAAATTGTTCGTAATCATTACCGTAAACAGCTGACTAAAGTACCCAAAGTATAATTAATACCCTCCCCATACTTATACCCGGGGTACTATAAGCTATTCGCAAAAAAGTAATATATAGAATTTTGAAAAATCGTGCCAATAATAAGTTCTGAATATCACCATATTATTTTTGAGGAAAATTAATTGTAATGTTAGTGCTTTTTTATTAAGATAATATTTTGCAAATTTTATGAAATTTGTATTGTACCCGGATATTTTAGTCAGCTGTTTATTTTACGGTACATTGTTAAGATCTTTTTTTACGAATAATATCGTGATTTGGATATTCTTTGACGCAATAACTTATTAGTTTTCGGGACTTTACCTCATTGCAATTTCTAAGCCCTCTAGGAGATATGCAAAAGGACCATTTTTTTAGCTTACCGCGTTCTTTTGGTAAGCTTCTTTTTCTTGCTTTGCGGGATATCGTTCATGATATGTAAAATCAAGTATTCTTATAGTATTTATTTTTTTTTTTAAAAAAATCCTTTCTAAAAAAGTCATATCATTTACTTTTACAATTATTTAAATGCTTACAGATTTCTTCCGATATCCCTACTTTGAGATTAATATCTCTCAGTAAGAAAATTATATGGTTTCTGCTCTTCCAATGCTAATAAACATTTGTTTACAGTAATTTTTAATTTATATTATCTTTAACTCATTTATTTAAGATAATTTTTTTTTCATAGTCTATATTAAATTATCTTATCCTTAACTCTTTTAATGAATCCATTTCATGGCATCAGATCGTTCCTTGATAGAGTCTAAGAAATCCCTTAACCGGTTAAATTTAACTCAGGCCGGAACTTTAAATTTAGGCAGAGCTAATGAACTTTTTTGCAATCACACAAATCTTAATTCTGGACGAAATTCAATTTCAGCAAAGTTAAAATTAAATTATTTTATCTTTTTTGAGGCTAATGTTTGAGTTTAATAGAAATCGATCCTAATTTTTGGTAATGATGAACTATTTAATTTATATACCAGATTTGGAAAACAAAAAGTAAATATTATGACAATCATTACCAAATTCTTACAAACAAAAAATTATATAAAGGTTGAAAATATAATCTATCTTTTCTTCCTTTGTATCATGTGTGGAAACATGTGAGTGACTTTATTTCCATTACACTTACATATTGAATTCGCTAATATTTTTTTATTTTTTCCGAATTCCTCATATTTTAATAGAATTTCAACCTGTTATAAGTCGAAACGAAATAAAGAAGAAGTAATATCTAATATTTCTAATGATCCAAATCGAATCAGTGGTCACCCCAATGTAAACTCTTTCTCGACAAATAATAATCTGGGACCAAATCTTTCCTTCGAAAATAATAATGTTAAATCAACTTCTGCCCCTGAAAATGATGATATAGAATTGAATTCTATCTCTATCTCTGAAAATAATTATGTAGAAGACGGTAACAATGAATTATGCCCTGGTTGTAATAAACCATATACGGGAAACCTATGGTGTCAAAAATGTAATGGTGAACGATTTCGACAAGAATTTCCAAATTGGAATAGTGGAAGTGAACTAATTGACGAATTTATCCGAGAGACACAACTGAATGCAAATCGTACTGAAGATTTATTAGAATGGATACCTTATGATAGGTTGACAAATATTGAATATCACGATAAAGGGGGTTATAGCTCGATTTACAAGGCTATCTGGTTGGATGGGCCTATCTTTGAATGGGAACATGAGTTTGAACGGTATAGATTAACTAAAGAAATAATTGTTAATTCAAACATGAAGATAAAAGGTTATGAAGTCATTCTTAAAAAATTCAATAGTCCCTTGAATGATAATTATGAACTTTTAAAGGAGGTATGATGTTCATATTTAATTTTGATATTATTACTTTTAAAATAAATTACTTAAATTATCCATATTTTCTTAGTGGGAATATCATTATATGTGCTCCAAGGGATTAAGCCGTCTTATTCAATTGTATGGAATTACCAAAGATCCTAATTCAGATTATATGATAGTAATGCAATTCGCGCGTGATGGGAGTTTAAGAAAACGTTTACCTGATATGGTAAAAGCCGGATGGGTTGAGAAGTTTGAATACTTGACTCAAATATTAAGTGGACTTGTATCGATACACGAGTTACAACTGATTCATACTGACTTTCATGATGGTAACATCTTAACACATTTTTATAATACGTTGATTTGTGATTTGGGATTATGTAAACCCGTAGAATATTTCAAAACTTCTACGAAAAATAAAATTTATGGTGTTTTGCCCTTCGTGGCGCCCGAAGTATTGAATGGGAAACCATATACCTCGGCAAGTGATATTTACAGCTTTTCCATGATCATGTGGGAATTCACATCCGGATTCCCTCCATATGATGACAAAGCTCACGACAGTGAATTGATCCTTAAAATCGGCGGTGGTGACCGTCCGGAAATAATTGAAAATACTCCTTCATGCTACATTGATTTAATGGAAAAGTGTTGGGATTCTGATCCTTCTAAAAGGCCAACAGCATTTGAGATAAGGGAAATTTTTGAAAATTGGAAAGAACATATCTTTTTATATCATAAAAAACCTCGGCCACTGAATGGAATAATCGAAGGAAACATTTATGAATTTATTGAAGAAAATATTGATGTTATAACCGAGAAATTTAATGATGACCAATTAAAAAATGATGTTAAAGAATTTTGGAAATACGATAAAGCTTTATTACAGAGAGAAGCTAATATCTCAGCTGGTTTGGAAAAAGATGATGTTCCTATTAGAAAATCTCACCCACAAGCGTATCATGTAAGTCGCTCTTACGATAATTTCAACTTTGCACTTCTAAATGTGGGGAAAAATGAACCGAAGGTCGATGCGATGATCATGATTCAAAATTTGGGTACGTGTATATTTTCGTTAAATAATTTGATGTATTTAACATATTGATTTATCTCTTTTATTATAAAAATATATATAAATAGATAATACATTCAAGAATATGACCAAAGAAGAGATGAGTATGTAAAAATCTTTATTACGTTACGATTTAACTTCATTCTCAGCAAATAATAAATGTGATTCAATTTATATTTATTGTATTTTAGACGAAGCGCTTAAACAGATTGAAAATAAATCCGAATCAAGTGAAGAAATTATTTATTAAAATTTATTTCTTATCATGAAACTAGAATTTACTCATGTGCATGAGATCAATGTGATTTCTACAATAAAATTGCGTTTATTATCACAAGCCAGTAGATGATGCAAATATTATTATAGCCCCAAAAATGGGAAAAAATATTTTTTTTTTTTTGTTTCAATTAAAAATAAATTCATAATTAATTTAATGAGCAAAATAAATAATTACTCATAATAATTAATAATTCAATTCAACATTAACAAATAATACTATCTCCTATAAACATCAAATTGTAATTATTTTCTCAGTTTAAACTTAAGCAATAATATATTAGGCCGGGCAAAAAATTTTTTAGATTCTCGTGACCCGACCGCCTCAATTTTTACAAAAACTCGATTTTTTTTATAGTAAAATTTTTTATCACATGACTTTATATAATGAAAAATCGTAATTGATTGCTAGGAAAATCAGGTTCCGGGTATTTTTTAACAAAATTGAAATTTTTATTGCATTTTAGTTTTTGATGTTATTAGATTAAAATGTATTAAGCTCTTAATTTAAGTCAAAAGTTTCTCGGAACCTGATTTTCCTAGAAACCCTCCCATATACTTTATTATAAAAAAATTTAACATACTATTTGCGTAATATAAAAAAAAAAAACCGGGTGACCGTGTCAATTTTAAAATTTTATAATTTTATGTCACGAGAATCTAAAAAATTTTTTTGCCCGGCCTTATATACGGATTTCTTTTACTTTGAAATTGACATAAACTTGCACGATAATATCGTAATTCTTACAATATTTACTAGAAATTACTTTACATAATTTTTATAATAGATTTATTTTCGGTGTTCTTGCAATGGTTCTTATTCATTAATTGTGAAGCCTTTGTTCCTGTTAGATAATTATATAATATGATTATGTATAATTTAATGACAAAAGAATAAATCACTTATCCGGCAGCACTTCGAACCGATACCTATAAGGTATAATAGTTATTTGGCATTTCGTGCCGAATAACTATTAAGTATTTCGGCAAAAGAAACTGCTTTTATGATTTTATATACGAACTAGTAACATGATCAAGAAATTTATGTAAATGGACACAATATTACTAATCTATTATTCAAGTGAGTGTCTCCTATGTAAATAATTAAATGATTTATTTATTTAAACTATAAAACTAAAAAAGATTCCGCGCATTTTGACTTCTGGTTCATGTGGGAAGTGATTTTGAGTTAATATTCCATAACTCGCAGTTTCTCTTTTTTTGAAAGCGCAGTGTACTGACTGACCTACCTGTTTCTTTCCTTTATTGTAAAGGAGTCCTTTGAAAGCGAGGCAGACAAATGAGATAATATTTACGGATATGTTTAAACGATTTTATGCCGCTGATAATCAAAAATTTTGCGCTTATTGTGTCAAAGGAACAGAAAATTCGTTACTCGGTTATCATATTTCACAATGTTTGCCTTAACGCTTCACGGGGATAATTCTGCCATACAATAATGATTAAAGTGAAAATGGAGAATTTCAATTTTAGAATCTCGGTTATTTGAAATCATTTATTTATGTTAGTTGATTTATAATCGTTACTTTGAATGGTTAAATGAACATTTAATTTAGACACTTCTGGTAATAAACCAACTTTTTGTGATATGTTCCCAATCAGTAATTTAGATTCCATATTTGTCAATTTCACAATGCCTTTTTTTTTTAATTGTCTTTTAATCATTTACAGATTATACCACTTTCTTTAATAGTTCATGTGATTTATTTTCTTTGTAACTTTTTTTAAAGAATTAAAAGAAAAAATTTTTTGAATCCCAATTCGTCATTTGACTAACCATTTTTGGAAAATTAACAATTAAAATTGATGCACACGGTTTTAATGGAAGTTCCACTGAGAACAAAATTAAAAATGTGGAATTATGGTCGATCACAATCAGAAAATTTCAAAAAAAGTTATTTCTGATAAAGAACTCTTCATTCGTTTATCCCTATTTGTGTTCAAAAGAGAAGTTTCATTGCTAAGTTTTTTTATGTATTTATAGACGCATTTCTTGAACGATATCTTTTTCTAACAAATTCAAGTAAATTATAATAAAAATGGACCAAGGCACATCAAGTCGACCATCGACAGCCGCAGTTAGTCCCAAATTCAAAAAAAGAAAGTGTCAAAGTGGAAAAAGTGGAAATGCCATCGTCGACGATTTTATCAAGTATACACAAATTAGTGACTACGATGATTCCAAAAGTATGGAATTTGTTCCCTATGATCAATTCAAAGATGTTAAATTCATCGCTGAAGGAGGATTTAGTAAAATTTATAAAGCCACTTGGATTAATGGACCAATTACTGAATGGAATGATGATCAACTAAGGTATAATCGAAAGGCTCATTTCACGGTTGCACTTAAGAAAATCTGTATTTCCACGAACATAACTCCCAAGGATCTGAATGAGGTGAATAATATTCTAATTTTTTTCCGTTGTTTTTCATTTTATTAATGTTAAAATTAAAAAAAAAATTATTTATTTTCAGCTCAAGATATTTTATCAATTAAATCGGAAAGGAGATGGGCAATCTTACATCAATCGATATTATGGAATCACACAAGTGCCTACTACAAAAGATTTCATGATAATAATGGACTATTGTAAATCAGGAGATTTGAAACATTATATCCCTCTTAATTTTTACAACCTTAGTTGGCAAGAAAAGTTGAACAGATTGGAATGCGTTGTAAAAGGCCTTACAGCCATTCATAACATGGACATTATTCACCGAAATTTTCATAGTGGAAATATCCTCACGGACGGATGCAGTCTTAGGATAGGTAGTTTGGGATTAAGCAAATTTGTGTTTGAATCATCAGATGATGATGAAGAAATTTACGGTGTCATCCCTTACATTGCCCCGGAGGTTCTTCAAGGACAACAGTATAACAAGGCTTCAGATATATATAGTTTTGGTATGATCATGTGGGAGTTGATGACTGGCAGGGAACCTTTTTGGGATCAAAATCATGATACGGACCTTATTATTGGGATTTGCGATGGCCTTCGTCCTCCAATTGTCACCAATGCACCTGAAGGTTATGTTGAATTAATGAAAAGTTGTTGGAATTCTCACATAAATAAAAGACCGACAATTATTGATATAGAACGAAAAGTAAATATGATGAAAAGAGCTGAATTGATAAATAAGACAAAAATTATAAGGTCATCTGATATTGGACCTATTGATCATGGTATTACTTATAATTTAGATGCAATAATAAAATCCGACAAAAGTGAGCGAATAATTATTAAATAATTAATATTGATCTATTATATTTTTTTGAAAAAATCTCAATTAATTTATCTTTATTATTAATCTTATATAGAAAAAAGAAAGTTTGATGATTTGGCTGAAAATGATTACGAAGGTATTGTATATGATTGCTTTTATGAATTAGCTAAGTACGTGAGTACCAACGTTATTTATTTAACTAATCCTTTTTTATTTTATTTTTTTTTTTAAAAAAAAAGATAATTTTGATAATTTATCTGATATATCAGATTTATCAGACATGAGCGTCAAAAGAATTAAATAACGTCACGTAAATGGTAAATGGGTCATTAAATAAGAAATTAGTTATATTTATTAAAAAATGCGAAAATATATATATACTTTTTATCGCTTTATTTATATTCATAACTTTCAAAAATTGTAGTGAACACTTTTTGTTATTTATCGTATATTAAAATCATTTCTTTTATATCTGAAATTACAATGAAAAATTATTATTTTGATATAGTATTTGAACAATTGAAAAATAGGCTTCCAGAAATTTTTGAAATTCTATATCGTATCGAAATCAATCTAGTTAATTATTTTTTATGTTAATGTATATGTATTGTAAATATAATTTTTCCTAAAAATAAATAAATGAGTCATGCTAAATGCTCGATAGCGGACAAGACAAATATTTTTAGCAAATGATAAAAGTCGAAATCGAATCCATTTCGAAAGAGATTTCGACAATACCCATTTACTCGGATACAACCCGAGTATATAAGTATCCGGGTCATAAAATAACAAATGGGTAAAAACAGAATACATCCATTTGTATCCGTTTTATATTAAGGGTTGACCCGAATACGATTATTATAATTCTTATTAATTTACAGGAAATGGATTTGTTTCTGTTGTAAAATATTTTGTAATGTAAATCTATTTGGTAACGCTGCGATATTTTTTTATTAACATTAATAAGTAATCGGTAAAATTTTCGGAAAAATGGGTTATAAGCTATTGATAAGGCGGTAATAGCTATTAGCTAATTTTTTTTTTTTGTTTTATTGTAAAATGTAAAATCTATAGCTATATAAATATTAACTTGAACATCTAATTAATGATCATTAATGACCAAAACTATCACCTTTGCATTTGCTTTTTACATTCATTTAAAATTTTAATTTAATCACTTTTGCCAATCGGCACGATGACACAACACACATATACAAAACCGTAACTGAATGTTAAATACATTTTTTATTTTTTGAATCTCAATTTTGATAAATTTGATAAAAATCGTGCCCTATTCTATAAAGTTAAATAATGCAAAGAGATATGGTATTTGTTCGCTATTAGTATAATACTAATTTTACTTTTATTACGGCTAAATTCATTGTCAATTAATATAAATAATAAATATTGGGATAAGCTAATTTAATAATAAAAAAAAAAGGATATAAATTTGAGACGAAATATGATCACATTTTGTGAAATTGCTGTCTGTAAATGAGACGCGCTAAGCGGATAAAATATTTGTCTAGTACAAAAACCGGATAAACCAAATCCGGTTGGAAAAGAAATCAGGTTGAAACGGATGTCATAAATCTGGTTTCAAATGTTTTGTCGATTATAAGTTTCAATCCTTAGATTTAAATCTAATGAAACTGAAACCGAAGGAGCTGGATAAATAGATCAAATGCAATGTAATTAATTTATTTGATTGCATGTAAGTTATAATGG